CCATGCCCGGGAGGAGGAGCAGTGGCTGTTGCCACCCTTCTCCGGTTTCATCTGGGAGTGAGGGACAGTTTGTGGTGGAGCGGACAGAGCTGAGGGCCAGGGCTTACGTGGTCCATGTTCAGTACTGGCACAGACCAGGGAACTAGGTAACCTGTCTGCTTAGGGAAGTCCCTGAGTGTCGGTTTGCTCATCTGTAAAATGGGGAAAAATAATGCTGGTCACAATGCTGCTGTTGTGAGGGTTTAGAATCAAATAAGGCCAAGAATTCAAGAACACTTTGAAGAACTTAAACTTTTTTTTTTTTTTTTTTAAAGAATTATTTATTTATTTAATTCAATTTGTTATTATTTTTAAATCTGGCCAAAAAGAGACAGAGACAGAGAAATAAAAGCAAGAATGTAAGCCACCAGGTCCAGGACTCGATCCATCGTTAGCCATGTGGGAATCCAGTGCCTTTAATTGGCACGCCACGTGCTGGCCCCTTAAAATGCTTCATTAATTACAAATTTCTCTTGGTTGGCAACCTGGAAAGCTATAGCACCTAGCTCTGAACCCTGCTGGGAAATTCACTGAAATATTCCTTCTTTTGTTCTTTGGTGAGTTCATTTATTCATAAACATTCACTCAGAGCCCACCGTGTAAAGTGCAGAGGTTACATAAGTAGCATACAGCTTCGACCATCAGGAAAGTCAGGGAGCTGGCAGACGTACAAGTGATTCATTAAGGTATGTGTATGGAGAAGAAGCAGCTCTCCAGCCCTCCTTGTCTCTGACAAACAAGTGCCCATGGAAAGATGTTCACACTTGAACGAAGAGCTGGGGAAAAGCATGGTGCCGTAGCAGTAGCTGGAGAAATGCACCGAGTGGTCTCGGAGCTGTGTCCTTGGGGTCCCTACCAGAAGCAGCTGAAAGCTGCCATCTATCCAAGGTCCCAGCGTTTGCAGGGCAGGATGGTTCATGGGGGGAGTGCTAGTGATTTCGAGAGCTCCTGCTGTCAAGTATTCTAACCCTGGTCTTTCCACCATGTGTGTTGTGACAAGCTGATCTCTGTCAACTTTCTATTTGACAAACAAAACATTCCAAGCTGCCCTCTGTTTATTACCTTCCATCCGCACCCCTCCAGGGAAACCTAATTAGCTGTACTTTGGGGTGATTGGTGGTAGCTTGGTTTTTTCTGTTTTTCATTACCAATATACCTATGAGGGAAGAATCTAGAAACAACTTCCAAATCTCCTCAGGGCCTTTCCCTTCAGCCCTTACAACCTCTCTGGCTGGTCCCTCCTGGAGTCTGTAGGCTGTGAGGAGGGGACCCTAGAGGGCTGATCCATTCCTCCCCTGGTGGCTGGATCAGGGTCTGGCTGGACGTCTGCTTGGCTTCCATACCGCCATATGCCTGCACTGGTCAGAGGCCATGTAACTACCATTGATGGTGGCCTTCTCTTCTCTTCTCTTCTCTTCTCTTCTCTTCTCTTCTCTTCTCTTCTCTTCTCTTCTCTTCTTTCTTAAGAGAGATTTTTTTTGCTATAGGACCCATGCGCTCGCCAGAAAGGCAGAGAGAGAGAGAGAGAGAGAGACAGACAGCGAGAAATCACCCCCCCAGGGGAATAGCCATGCTGCAATCCCTTCTCCTCCATTCTCCTCTCGGGATTTTGGGCATGCATGCACATTTGTCTGGCATGAGTTTAAGTCACCAGATCCAGGAAGAACTGTGGTCAACTACGTGGGAGTCCAGCAACATAACCATCACGCCATCTGCTGGTCCTGATAGTGGTTTTCTTTAAATGTTTTTATGCTTTCTTATAGTTTAAATTTCTCTATGTAAAGATGACTAAGGTTCATTTTAGAGTGAATGAAGGGATAGTATAGGAGAACTGACGTTAGGTAGACAAAATACTCTCAGCAATTTGGGCTGGTCCTATAGTCTAGTGGTTAAGAAAGCCAGATCGCACGTGGCCAACCACAGTTGGAATTCCCTCCCTGATTGCTTGAAAAACACACCAGGCACATGTGTATGCATGACCCAGACCCCAAAGGGTAGAGAAGTGGGAAGGAATTGTCTTGGTGTAACACTCCATTGAAGGTATTTCTCTCTCTCTCTCTCTCTCTCTCTCTGGCAAGCGCACCTACCCTCTGGCAATTAAAGGAAAGGAAAAACAGGAAAATATTCTTGGCAGTTCTAGGTTAATTTGTTTTCATTTTTCTTAAAATCTTATTTTTGGTTATAAAAGCGGCAAAAGCCAAAAACAAACCCTGAACCTTATCCTTCCACTAAAAGGCAAACGCTGTCAACATTTTGGCATCTTTTCCCGTAGTCATGTCCCCCTTCTTGCAGGCAGGGGAGACGGCTCTGCTGCACAACTGTGGGTCCCGTTCCAAGCCTCTCCCCAGCCATTCGCAAGGCTTCGATCCAAACAGTTGTATGAGATGGTTATAACCATAGTTTACCAATGGCTAAACACTGATAACCGAACTACAGATATTGAAGCTTTGGTGAATTTTCCTCTTGTAACAAAGAATGCCACCTCAAACATCTTTGTGTGTAGCTCTTCCCATTTGGGTAGGTTGAGAGCATCCCAGCACGTCACCCATACGTCTGTCTTCAAGACAAGTGGGTGCCCCCGTGAAGGTCCCTCCATTTTAGGAACAAGTGCTTCTCTGACTTCTGCTGTCCATCTGCTGTGACTTTTGCCCTTGGGTTGCTCCAAGAATGAGCATCTCTTTCCGCTTCTCTAATACACAATTCTCTTCCTCCCTGTCCTCCACAGCTAGCCACCTCCTCTCTGGTAGCCTTGCCCGGTAGCGTCGCCCGCAGTGTTCTAACAAATATTCCGAGTAGCTGGGACAAAAATAACCCCAGCATTTTCCCTTCTTACCAGACTTTCTATGGAGAGGCTATTTCTGGGGATAGCTTTGAATTCCAAGGTATTTTACAAATTCCTCTTCTGGCCACCCAACAGTGTCAAGTCAGCTATCTCCTTTCACTTTCTGAGCAGCAGTTAGGACCTGAATTCAGATCCTCCGTCCTCCTCTTAAAAGTCAAGTGACCTTGGCCAATTTAATGTCACCTCTCTGCAAGGCTCCATTTACTCTTCTACACTATGGGGTTGTAATAGAAACCACTGAACAGGATTGTGGTGAAAATGAATGAGCCCTGTGTTGGTGGTGTGATTATTCTCTAACGGTTTTGACACCGGTTCCTTACAAAGCAACATGTGAGTCACCTCTTAAATGTACACTTTCCTGACAAAATGGCACGTGGAATGCCAGACCTGGAAGGGAGGGTTGCGATGGAGTCCAATCCCATTGTTGCAGTGATGGGGAGACCGAGACCCACAGAAAGAAAAGGACTTCAGTAGAGGCGCCTGGGCGGATATAAGACATGCCATTACAGAGCAGGACGCTGGCTCCAGAGCGCAGGTGTGTGCCTCCTCTAAGGCTGGCCTGCACATCCTCACCGTCCAGACCTGAGGCGGGCCCCGTATGGGCCAGTGCTGCCTTCTCCCTCTTGTATGGCCACTGAACCCATCCAGAGCAGCTAGGAAGCTTGTGGAATATTAGAATACTGTATATTCTCTGCTGCTTGACACACGTGATCCCCGAAGACCTCTTTCTGTGTGTCACTTTATCTCTCTCATTCCTCCCCCTCCTCCCACCTCTCTCTTTGGGCCAATTGGAAATTCATCTATTCTCTCCTGGCTCTGGAGCTGAAAGAGTCTGCCAGCCTGTGGGTTTCTTTTCCGTACAGCTCACCATCTGGAGTGGCAACCTGCTTCCTTGTGTGTGTGTGTTGCGGGGGGGCCGGGGGTGTGTGCACGGGCCAGGGTATTGTGTTCCCTTTCTGTGCTCGAGCGGCTGAATGAACAGGAGAAAGAGAGCAAAGGCAGAGAGGACAATGCCCAGAAGTCATCCTAGCAGTATGAATGAATAATTCATATTGGAGCTGCCTCTTTCCAGGGCTGCCCAAAATAGCTGTTTTAATTGCTTATTTGTTTCGCGGCTGACTTGAATTCAGCTGCCTTCAGCTCCGAACACTTCGGTGTTTCATGTTGGCTTGCAGGTAGGACTTCCCTTCAGGGAACAACCCTCTATTTGTTTTCTTGTTTAAAAAGAAGCGATGGGAGAAAAACCCTTAAAGAAAGGGGTACTTTTCAGTTCTCGTGAGATCTTCTCCTCTGTCCTCAGCTATCACAGGCCTCTGTGGTCTTGGAAAATAAAGGCATAGCGGTTGGATGGACAGGCAAGGCAAGCTTCTGGGTGACATCAGTCTGCCACCATGATGTGCTCAGCAAACACCTGGGAGCCTACAGAGGTCAGGTTCTCCCGTGGGCGAGGCCATGCTGGCTGTGCTTTCCCAGGCAGGCAGGTGCAGCATCTAGCTCCCTACCTGGGTGGGCCACCTAGGGGACCAGTGCCATGACTCCCCAAGGCTCTGGCAGGCCTGCTCTACTATGCAAAGCCCAGCTCAACTTAGAAGAGGCTTTTTAGTCGCCGTATACGAGGAAACACCCAGGTGGTGTGTCCAGAGAACAGATGAGCATGGGTGCTGGGAATTAGGTGAGGTGTTGGAACCTGCGCCC